GAAGACCTGGCCTCTCAGCTAGTCCAGGAGCTTCTGCCTGCTTGGGGGTGGCTGGCTGGCTGGTCCTGGAGGACCAGTGAGCCTGGAGAGGCCTGGCAGTGGCAGTGGCCTTAGTCAGGGCTTGGTGTGTAGGATGGTCACTCATTCATTCAACAAACATTCATTGGATACCTACTGTGTGCCAGGCAGTGGAGTGGAGTTTCTAAGGGAGGGGAAGACAGGCAGTGGGCAAGATAAAGAAGTGAGATATATGGAATGTCAGGTGGTGATAAGGTGGTGATAACTTTTAGGGAGAAACATAATAGATGGTGTGTATGAGAAGGGCTGGCTTGGGAATTTAAATGGGGTCATTTTAGAAAGTCTCACAGAGAGGGGGACAATGGATTCAAGACTTCTTGTTTCTCAAACACACCAGGAGCTTGTTGTCAGGGCCTTTGCACAGCCTGAAATGCTCTTCCTGCAGATATCCAAGGCCTTCCCCCTACCTCCTTCGGTCTATATCAATTGTCAGGCCTTTCCTAATAATCTTCTTCTTTAAAAATTGAGATGTAATTGACATATAACATTATATTAGCTTTAGATGTACAACATAATGATTCAATATTTGTATATCTTACAAAATGATCACCACAATAAGACTAGGTCACATCTGTAACCACACATAGTTACAATTTTTTTTTCTTGTGGTGAGAACTTTTAAGATCTATTCTCTGAAAATAGTATTTATTATTTCTGGGTATGGGTTGGCTATCCATTCTGGAGTGCACATAGAAGTGTGTTTAAGGACACATGGGAAAGTCATGTTCTTCTGAGCGTTCCTTGTCCATGCAGTTCTGAACCGTGCTGTTTTAGTGAATGGATATATAGACAATTCTGTGAGGCATGTAGAGAAGTGTCTAGCAGCATAAATAAAAAAGATATTTCTAAGAGTATTACCTAAAAAAAACCAAAACACCAAAAAAGTTTTACTCTTTTAGCAACTTTCAAATATATCTGATCACTTTCTTAAACATAAGCAGTTAATGTTCCAACTTTCCCTCTTAGCACTGTTTTACCTGCACTGCACATAGTTTGATATTGTCTGCTTTCTCTTTCATTCAGTTGAAAATATTTTTAATTCTTGACTTCCTTTTTTACTCGTGGATATGACTTGATTTCTGAATATTTGCAGATTTTCCAGACATCATTCTGTGATTTCTAGTTTAATTTGGTTCTGGTCTGAGAACCTGCTTTGTATAATTTCCGTTCTGTGATCTTTTTTATTGCAAGGGATTTTTTTGTTGTTGTTGTTCACCATGGATCCCTAGTACCTAGAACAGGGCCTAACACATAGTAGATGGTCAATACATATCTTGAATGGATGAATGAACCACTGAAACCCCCACCCCTTTTGGACATATCAGGAGATAGTTGCTCAGAGATGTCATTTTTCTCTGAGGTCACACAGCAAGAATGGGGCAGAGCTGGGATCAGACTAGGCCCATGGTCTTATACCCAGTGGATGGGACTGGATTCCACAGTTCCTCAGTGCCTACTGTGAGCCAGGCCCTGAGGGATAGCCTAGCCATGTGGCCATCACTCCTACAAGTGAGACCATCCAGTCTCCACTACACTTACCTTGCTCCAGAGCCACCCACCTCAAAAGTCACCCTTGATAGGCAGAGATGCTATTGGTCTTTTTGGCTGGTATACCTCACTCCTACCTCTGTCCCCTCCCTCTTCCCTGACACACCATATCCACATGCTCCCCATGTGTGCTCCACGGGTGTTTGCTGGGCAGGCAACTCTTCCTGCCTTCTCAGACTTCCCTAACGGGACAGCCTGGCCCCCAGCTGGTCTGCTGCCCCTACCCTCTCAGCTAGGGCTGGGGCCACTCACATCCCTCTGTGTTGGGGACAGTTTTTCACTTGTCAAGACTGCTTATTGCCAATACTGAGACTGTGAGATGGGATATAAATTCTGTTTTGTGGAAGCCACACTTGTTCTGAATCTCTATTATAGCAACTCAGCCTGCTACTCTAATTTGTACGTGGGCTGGACGGGATTTCCTTATTGTTTAAGCTAACTTGAGTTGTGTTTCCTTTTACGGGTAGTGGAAAGCCCCTAAAAAGGGGAATTGGGATCTTGTCTTTTGGGGTCTGTAATAGTTTCCTATGGTTACTATACCAAATTGTCACAAATTTAGTGACTTAAGAAAACAGGAATTAATTCTTTTATAGCTCTGGAGGTCAGAAGTTCAAATTGTTTCATGTAGCTTAAATCAAGTTATCAGCAGGGCCACCTTTCCTCAGAGGATCTAGTGGGATAGTCTGTTTTCTTGCCTTTTCCAGAGTTGCCTTCCTTGTCTCATGGCCTCTCCCTGTGTCTTCAGGGTCACCAGTATAGCACCTAGCTTCAGAGAAAGGAGAGGGAGATTTGAGACACAGAGACACAGAGAGAAGGCCATATTAGGTCAGAAGCAGAGATTGGAGTGATGTGGCCACAAACCAAGGGATGCCAGGAGTCCCCAGAAGCTGAAAGAGTCAGGAAGGTCCTTCTCCTAGAGCCTTCAGAGAGAGCACGACCCTACTGACAGCTTTATTTCAGACCCTCCCAAGATAAATGATATATTAATAAAATATTAAAAAATAAAAAGAAATGAAAAAAAATCCACAATGAACAAAATAACAAAAGTTTAAATCAAGGCAGGCTGTCGTTTGCTTTTCTTCCAGCTCTATTTGAGGTTCAAAAATTGTACATATTTAAGGTGTATAACCTGATGACCCAATATACACATACATTGTAAAATATTCACTACAATCAAGCCAACCAACATATTCATCACCTCACACAGTTACCATTTTCCTTTTTTTCTAGTGGGAACACCCAAGATCTACCCTCTTAGCAAATATCAAGTACACAGTACAATATTGTCAGCTAGTCACATTGCTTACACCAGGTCTTCAGCACTTATTCATCTTGTATACCTGAAGCTTTGTAACCCTTGATCAGCATCTCCCCATTTTTTCCTCCGGCCCCTGGTAACCACCTCTCTGCTTCTACTTTCTGCTTTTATGAACTTTACTATATGGAGGGCAAGGGGGGAAGCAGGTAGACCAAGGTGGAGGTTATGACTGTAATTGAGGTGAAAGATGATAATGGGTCAGACCAGAAGGTAAGAAGGGCTCAGATGCTGGATATATTGTGAAGGTAAAGCTAACCAGACTTACTAACAAATGGCCAGAAGATAGGGAGACTCATAGGACTGGAGGTGACTCTAATGCCCTGGGGGCTGGAATCTTTAGTACCTGGGCTGAGCTGAGACTTTTGAGTGGAGCGCCTCCCTGTGACCTCCATGTGGCTTGGACTTTCTCACAACGTGGCTCTTGGAGCACATGTTCTGATAGACCCAGATGGAAGCTGCATGACAGATGTCACTTCTACCACATTCTATTGGCTATAAGAGAGTCATTAAGGCCAACCCAGATTTAGTCAGAAGAGAACTAGACTCTACTCCTTAAAGAGAAGCAAGGTCACATTGCATACGACCATATAAGACATGAGATATGCTTGTGAACATCTTTTGAAAACTCCCTTTGCCATAGCCATGGGATGAGAGAGAAGGGAGGAACCAGGGATAATTCTAAGGCTGTTGGGCCCAAAGACCAATAGCAGTCCTTTTGAGAAATACAGTCAGGCTACCCTCTTGGGCAGGGTTCTCCAAATGGCTTCAGGCTGGTATTTCACTGCCTTCAGTTGGCTCACAGAAAACTCTCATATCCTTGCTGTACCAAAAAACTCAATCACTCCTACTGCAGCCCTTCTTTCTATGTATATCCTTTCACTTCATGTTGTTTTGGGTGCGAGTCAAAACTTCATCTTTTGCCTTTCCCACGGAGTAGGCAGACCTCATTCTCTCTCTTCAACTTTCACTTCTAAAACACCTACCAGTCAATGTCAAGCTAAGTGTGAAAAAACTTCCTTTGCAAGTTCTGTATATATGGTTGCAGTAGCCAGCTTTCACAATGGCCCCAATGATCCCTGTATCTTGGTATTCATGCTCTTGTGCAACCTCCTTCCACAATGACTCACAGTTGGTCCATGTGACACATAGAATACAGTGGATATCATAGTTTGGGATTGTAGGTTAAACCATAAAGGCATTGCGGTTTCCACCTTAGCCTCACTATGTGGTGAGGACACTCAATCAACCATTTGGGGAGGCTCCCATGGTGAGGAGCTGTGGTCTTCCACTGAGAGCCATGTGAAGGCACCATCTTGAAGAGGCTCTTCTAGCCCCAGTCAAGCCTTCAGATGATTGCAGCCCTGGCCAACATATTAACTGCAAACATATGAGAGATCACAAGCCAGAAACACCCAGCTAAGCTGCTCTTGCACTCCTGAATCACAGAAACTATGAGATAAGTGCTGTTGTTGTTTTAAGTCACTAAGTTTTGGGGTAATTTTTAAATGCAGTCATAGCTAACTGATCCAGTGTCCTAGCATTTCACTTTGGAATATGGGAATACTTAGCACCTACCACTTTAACACCTTGTTACAAATGTGACTACTTCCCTGATCATCTCTCTACATTAGCCCCCATCCTGTTCCATTACCCTGTTTTATTTTAAAAAATAATATTTAGTCACTATTGGAAATATAATAAAAACTGTAGTGTTTATTTCTATATTTCTTTACTGGTTTATTGTCTCTCCTGTCTTGATGGAAAGTTCCATGGAAGAAGGAGCTTATAGATCTTTCCCACCCAGGGCTTGACACTCTGTAGAAACTCAAATGCAAGGGCTGTTGTTACTATTACCTCTATGCATGAATTGATACTGGGGAGAAAGGTGTGTATATGTATGTGTGGTCTGGGGTGGTTCTCCTCAAGATAGATTTGCATGTACTTCTCTTAAAAAAGGGAACTGAGAGGAGCTCCAGAAACCTGAGCAGGAAGAACAGGGGGCAGAAACTGTAAGACTCTGGTTGCACCTTGTCAGTCTTTTGTGTTAGCTACAGCCATGCATACCCTGTTTACTCACTCTGGGTGCCGGGATCTGCCAGGTATGGCCTTGGCCAGATTTGGGTTGGGGGCCAGGGGTGGTCAGGACCCAGGTTACAGCATCTCCATCTTGAGGCTGAAAACTTGGGCCTGACGGACAGAGGAGGAAATGGGCTGGGTGTTCACTTGCCTTTCCTCTGAAAGGGACCAGAGAGGATGATGATGATGATGGTGATGATTATGAGAACATGGCACCATCCTACAAGGACCTTCCTCCCAAGCCAGGTAAGAAGACTTCTCAGAGGCTAGGTGAAGAGATGTGTGGTTTGTGGGCTGGAGGGGGAGCTAGGTCTCCAGGGGACATTAGCTGGCCTTTGTAGACATAGTCAGCTTCCTGTGTACTCAGCCCATGCTAGGCACTCTGATGGTGGGAGTACTCATGCCTCTGCCCTGCCCTTGATGATATCTCAGGCTGGTGGGGACGTTAGTTCTGGGAACAACATAAGGTAAAAAGATCTGAAGGGGGATAAGCCAAGAGATTGTAGAAATTCTGAGGGAAATGGAGGGCTGTGTCTGCAATGGTAGGAGGACTGGGGGTCAGAAGAGGGGACATTGGAGTAGGACTTGAAGTATGAGTATGAGTTTGTTAGGAAGAGAAGCCCAGAAGAGAACTGGTGGATGTTTGAGAAACTGAGAGTAGACTGTTGGCTCCCCAACTTCCTAGCATTCACACCTAGGGCCCAAATTTGCCTTTAGACTTGGGTGGCCCACACCTGGCCTGGGAATCAACAAGAGTCTAATAAGTGGGTATAAAAGTGGAGATTTTGGAAGTTTCCCTGAGTCAACTCCTGCCAGGGCCCCTGAGGGCTGACCATGCTGCCTGGTGTCCTTGGACAGGCGCCATTCCATGTGGGATGGTGCTCCAAATCCTCCACTTCTGAGTTTAGGCTGGGGCGAGCTTGGGAGGTCTCAGGGCTCTGTGGGGCTTGGGATGAGGTGGGAGGTGAACTGGATTCTGCTTTTTTTTTTAAAACATATTTGCCATTGATAGAATCTTTAAAAATTTTTTTAAAAATTGATTTTTAGAGAGAGAGGAAGAAAAAGAGAGAGAGAAACATTGATGTGAGAGTAAAACATCTATTGGCTGCCTCCTGTATGCCCCCTACCAGGGATTGAGAACACAACTTGGGCATATGCCCTGACAGGGAGTCAAACCGGCAACTGTTTGGTGCACAGGACGACACCTGTCCAACTGAACTACCAGCCAGGGCTTGCCTCTGCTGTTTGACTGCTTGCTTCCAACACTAACCTGGTTCCAAAATGATTCTCAAATCTAGTTCCAAGACTAACTTCATCCCCATTTTTAGGGCCACCCCTTCCCCAAACTTAACCCCCTCCCCATCTCCAAGTACAGCTATATCTCCATCCCCATCTCCATTTCCAATCCAATGCCATCACTATGCCCCATCACAACTACAACCCAACCTCAACTTTTTCCTTTTTTCCAAGCCCAAGTTCATCCCAGCTCAACTTCTTTCCCATCCCCCAAAATAGCTACAACCCCATACTTCATCTCAACCACATCCTGAATCACAACCCTACTCCCATGTCCGTCACTGTCCCCGACCCATCTTCAACCCCATCCTCATCTCAATCCAAACCCTCATACCAACCCCAATCTTAGCTCCACCCCCATTCCTAAACTTAACTGTGTCTTTAATGTAGGGTGACCAACTGTCCCAGGTTGCCCAGGATGAAAGATTTCCTGGGATATGGATATCTTTCAGTTTTAAAACTGAGGAAGTCCTGGGTAATGCAGGGTGGTTGGTCATTGTACCTTAATCCTGTCCCCATCTCTAACCCAATTTTATTCTTATGCCCAACCCCATCCATTACAATCTCAATCTTGTTTTCATCACTGCCTCTGATCTCATTTTCATCCACAGGCCAACTCTAACTCTGAGCTTCTCTTCTTCAGGTCCAGTGGCTCCACCAAGGCTTCCAAGGGCAGGTGAGCTGGGGCTTGGGGTATAGGAGACCCAGTGCTGGCTTTACTCTGCTTTGGGCCTAAGTAACCTTTCCTTCCTCTTCAGGAAAAAAAACAGGAACTCCTCCACTTCCCAGAAAGCCCCTGAAGATAACAGGTGAGAATCTAGGGCTGGACCTTTGTGTTTACCTGGTTGATGACCTGCTCTACATGATCATTATCTTTCTGACCCCCTCCAGGCACGGACCTCACCTCTGTCACCTGCACATCTCAACTGGGTGAGCCATGGGAAGACCCTTCGAGAAGTCTAAGAGGGGACATCTGGAAGCCCTTCTTCCAGTCCCCCAATTCTGACTAGAAAGCAAATCAGAGGGGACAAAGTCTTGTTGATCTTGGAAGACAGAGTCAGCAACTTCTGAATAAAACTCTCTCCCCCTTTCTCCCAGGCATTGCTCTGGAGCTTCCTCCATTCCAGCCATCCCAAGCCAGTAAGTCAGTCCTCCATATGTTCTTCTATCGCTCCTCTCACAGTGGCCAGAGTATTTGAGTTAGATCTATAGTTCTGGAGTGAGACCATAGGGCAGAGAAATATTTTCTCTTAGAAGCTACTTTTCCCTGAGCCTAGACCAGACCCCCAGGGGCTCAGGGTGTCTGCCAAGTAGGGCATTCTTTTGGGTCCATCTTCTGCTTACATATAAGGTACAAGAAACATTCTATGCTCCAGATGCAAGGGTCCACAGTCTTCCTTGAATGGAGAGCAGCTTGGGCAGGAACTACTGGAGGGCAGAAGACAATGCATCATAGAGGTTAAGGGCAGATCTGGGTCCAAGTCATGGATGACCTCACAGTTTACTCATGGGCAAAATGGGAATAATTACATCTATGTTATAAGGGTGAGGATCCAATAAGACAATAAAAGCTATAACAGGATGCTTGATACACAGTAAATGCTCTACAAATGCTCTGGGCTTCTTCAGGGTTTGCTCTCCCCGACACTCTTCTGCTGACCCCATTTTGTGATATAGTCATGACCATAGATCTCTTTCCCTTTGCTTTTGGAGACAGGCTCAGGGGTCCTTTCCTCATTCTCTCAAGCACCAGCATTGGTCTCTGTGTCTCCATCCCCCCCACAAGCAACTCCAGTGCCCTGGCTCAGTCAGAAATCTGGGGTTCCTGGGTGCTACCAGGAGGAAAAACGTCTGGTTCTCCTGTGTCTGCTGCTGCTGGTGGCATCATTGTTCCTGGGATGTACTGGTCTGCTTGTAACCCTGATTAAGTGTGAGTAGGTTGAGGATGGGGCATGTGGAGAGATTGGGGATGGGGTACAGGAGGACTTGGGCTCAAGCTAGACTCCTTCTCATAGACCGGAAAGTGATGGAAGAACTGAAGCTGTTAACCTTTCAGCAGATGGCATGGCAAGCAAATGGTGAGTGTTTTCAATCATCCCATCATGCCATGCATATTGAACGACCCTCATACCCAGCTCCATGACCAATCACCAACCTCATCTTTGCCCAGTACTTGGCCAGGTACCAGGGTGGGGGTTGGTGGGTAGGATGGTGAACTCATTAGACATAGTTCCTGTGGTGTGTGTGTGTCTGTGTCTACACCTTTACTGCCCAATATGGTGGTCATGAGTCACTGTGGCTGCTGAGCACTTGAAATGTGCTCATTCTGAAATGAGATGTGCAGCAAGTCTAAAACACACACCAATTTCAAAGCCTTGCTACAAAAAATAATGTAAAATATCTTAATAATAATCTTTAATATTGATTACTCACTAAAATGACAATATTTTGGATATACTGGGATAAATAAGAATAGCTTTCAAAGTAATTTTACCTGTTTGACTTTAAAAATGTGGCTCCTAAAGAATTTAAAATTACCCCCGTGGTTCACATGTTCTTTCTGTTGGACAGCACAAGCATAAACAGCCATTTAACAAATTGTCACCTACATGACTATAAAATTTCAAATTTTGATGGGTAGTCTAAAGGAAGAAGAAGGTGATTCTATGAAAAAGTCTATCAAGGGGTCTTGACCTTATCTTTGGGCGGATCATACAGGGCTCCCCTAAGGAATGGTATTGCAGCTGAGTGAAGGAAGAGAAGGGATTAACCAGGTGAGGGATTGAGGGTCTCAGGCATGTGCAAAGGCTCTGTGGTGAGAAGCAACATTGTTTAAGTACAAGGGAGGAAGATGGTGTAGTAGGACAGGTGAGAGGAGGTAATGGCTTGGATGAGGATTGTGGCTGTGGAGATGGAGAAGACTGTGTGAAGTAGAAAGATTTAAGAAATAAAATTGATCAGATCTGGGGATGGATGGATTGGGAATGATGGTGAGTGAGAGGGAAGGGTGTCAAGGATAATGTGTGTGTCATATATTTCTATCCTTATCTCTATCTCTTTATCTATCTGTATCTATATATCTTATATTTCTGGCTTATCTAACTGAAGGGCCATCTACTGATGACCCTAGGGAGTGTTGGAAGAAGGCAAGTTTGTGTGGGAGCAGTGGAAATACACACTAGTTGTAGAAGAATTTTCTGGGCTACCATGGTCTTCACCATGATTGCTGAAGTATGAACATTGCTACATTCCACACTCCCTCACCCCACACCTCAGATCAGGCCCCTCTTTCACTCAGAAACCATCAATGGCTTCTCACTGCCCAGGAACCACTATGAAACCCTTGACTTTATATTCAAAGAACAAGAAATTGGCCCTCATCCTACTTTGAACTCCAGCTCCTATGAGATTCCCTTGACCTCTACTGCACCAGCCTTCCCCAAAATGCTTACCTCTGTACCCTTGCTTCCAAGGTGCGTGCTGTACCCCATCCCCTCACAGTAACCGAATTAGTGTCTTCCTTCAAAACCACCTCTTTTAGGAAATCCCTCCATCCCCACTCTTCCCCAAAGGTTCAGAGATTAACCCCTCCTCTGAGCCACTCTATGACTCCTGCTGGACACCAAGCATGTTGGTTTTGAGTTGTACTACCACTCACAAGAATGTGGGTACCGTGGGGAGCACAACTTTTGCTTCTCTCTGCTGAGTCTGCAGTCAGTGATGAGTGAGTGGGTAGATGGGAGTTTGGGTCTCTAACCTTCCAGCTCTTCCCTGCTGACAGTGACTGGCATGGCGGGGCTTGCTGGACTGAGGAAGGACATTGACCAAGTAAGAGCTGACACCAACCAGTCCCTGGTGGAACTTCGGGGCTTATTAGGTGAGTGGGACTTGGGGAACTGTCCTGAGGTGGGGACATGGCAGAGCTGGCATATTGTACAAATCCATGGGAGCAATTCTCATTGCAGTCTATCCTGTTCCCAGACTGTACCAGGGTCACCTGCCCTGAGGGCTGGCTCCCTTTTGAGGGCAAGTGTTACTACTTCTCCACAAACACCAAGTCATGGGATGAAGCCCGGAAGTTCTGCCAAGAGAATTACTCTCACTTGGTTATCATCAGTAGCATTGCTGAGCAGGTGAGCTGTCCCCTCTAAGCCCCGGAGAACCAGCAGGGCCAGCCTGCTTGTTTCCCAGATTTACACATCCTTCCCTCACCTGGATGAAGAGAAATGGGAATTGCTTTTGAGTCACTGAAACTTTTAATAGCCAGCTTTTACCGGCATAACACCATGCAGAGGTTAAGATTGTATGCTCTGCTTGAGTTCAAATCCTAGTTCTCAAGTCTCAGTTTTCTAGCTCTGAGGTAACATGTCCTATTCTCCAGACTGAATTTCAAACAAAATTAATGCCAAAAGAAAAATTTGTGGTGAAGGTCAATATTTTATTTTATTTTTTAAAATATGTTTTTAGCCCGGCTGGTGTGGCTCAGCAGCTGAGCATTGACCTATGATCCAGGAGATTGCTGTTCGATTCCTGGTCAGGGCACATGCCTGGGTTGTGAACTTGATCCCCAGT